GTTCCTGCCTAACCATATAATTTATCAGCTGAGCAACCTTTGCACAAATCAATAAAATCTTAAGAAGTAGTTCTTCACATTGTCTGTGAGCTAAATAAGAATGTTTTTTAAAAATGTGTCTTGTTGGTTAAAATTAATATGACTATATAGTTCATTTAAAAATATTTATGCTGTTCTGCTAAATACAATGATAAAATTTCTTGTCTTCTTATTAACTGACTTACCAGCAAACTTGACAGCCTGATCCCTGCTTTATCCTTGAAACATGTACTTCACTTGGATTTTAGGACTCCACACCATTCTGGTTTCCCTTTTATCTCAATAACCTTTTCTTCTGGTCTCTTTGCCCAGTTCCTTCTCTTCTCATTAACCGTTTGTTGTTCTCTTTTGCTCTGTTTGAGACTGGCTTATCCTATTCATCTTAGAATGCTCTTGGATTCACAAGGTAGCTCAAGTTGGCCTCAAAAGTGTCTCCATAGTGCTTGGATTACAGGCTCATGGTCCCATCCATACCCAGCTTCACCGACCCCTGGAGGTAGCAGCATCCAAGATTCTGTTTTAATTTTCTGTTTTCACTTACTTCCCTAAATGATCTCATGTCATCAACATTAAAAAATGTCTATATGCTGATTACTATTAGATAACTAATAACTCCATATGAGCCCATCTCTCATGAACTCTGAACTTCTTTTGAGCTATATGCATATCCATTCTCAATCTCTTCACTTAGATACAGAAATTTCAAATGTACACATCTAGTACTGAACCCCCATGCTTTAGCCCTTCTCCACAGCCAGACTGCTTCTCCCATAATTATTCCAAATTCATGGAATGCAATTCTATTTCTCCACTTGACAGGTCAAAAACCTGGGAAGTATCCTTGAGTCTTTTCTTGCAATCATATGCCATATCTAACAAGTAAAGGAAGTCAGTTGGCTTTTCTTTCAAACTTCACTATCAAGATAGTCAATGTGTGTGACACCTACATTATCATGATCTCCACCTAGCTTGCAGTAGCTTGCCTGTCTCCTTTCTGTTTAATTTCTCAAATTACTTTGTGAAAATCAAAGTCAGTTTAATCATGTTACTTTTTTGCTCCAAATTCTCCATTAAGTTTCTACTTCCTCAATTGGTTAAAGCTTACTATGACCTTTGATCATGGCCAGCCCAAATTTTATCTCATTACCTCCCTAACACTGTAGTTGATTTCCCACTTATTACTTTGGCTACAGTCATACTGTAGGTATTGGCCTGACTTGAGGCCTTTGTACTTGGTGTTTCTCCCTTAAGAAGTTGGCATTCCCCAATACTCAAATGACTAACTTCCTCATCTCCAGTGACTCTTTGTTCAGTTAAATAGATTGTTCTACCCTGATAACAAACTCTTATTAGAGTAGACATCCCTATCTAAAATTGCCACTCCTTCTCATCTTCATTAACTTTTTGAATCTTCCTTATTATCAATTACATTTCTGGTGTGTGTGGGAGAGAGTCCATGATGTATCCATGTATGTGCACATGAGTGTGCAGGTGCCTGTGCCTGAGAATTCATATATGGAGTCAAGAAGTGGACATCCATATATTTATCACTCTCTAAGTTATTTTCTGAGACAGGTTCTCTCACTGAATTTTTGGCTCAGCAGTTGTCTCTGTAGATTGACTTCCCAGCATGTGCCTTCTATCTCCTACCTTCCTGGAGTTAACATGACAGGCTGATGCTGGCACACCTGGCTTTCGGTGTGGGTGCTGGGGCTCTGAACTCATATCTGGTGTTTGCATAGCAAGTACATGGAACCCTGGGCCATCTCTTTAGTTACATCAATTACTTCTCTAACAAACTGTTCAGCTCATCTATTTATCAGATATATTCTTCACTCTCTCCAGTCTCCTAAAAATAGGGAATTTTTCTCTATTTTTATTCATGAAATTGTCCCCAAGTTTTATTTATTAGTGTTTTCCAAGTGTCTGGCAGGCCCTACCACATAAATATTTATTGGATGACTTAATAAGTATATAACATAACATCTACATATGCATAGATTTTTTTCTCATATATTTTATTTTAAAAAGTATTTTCAACAATAGTAATACTAGTATCTATTATAGAAGATCAAATTGATTGCACCAAACTATTTAGCTGTTTAGATGTAATTCAAAGAGTATAAAAAATTCAGTAGTTGTTGGTAGTTTTCAGTTACAGTCATATGCATAGCAAGATATAGATATTCAGTGTTGGCCTTAAAGTGTGTAAGTAAGATTATAACTATGGTTGCCAAAAAAAAATTCTTAGAGCTTTCCACTTGGATGAAGATCTTCACATATTCAATGATAGATCTGATATTTAAAAGTGCCAGTATGGGTACAATGATAGTTAACACTCTCAACACTGTTGATATGAAAACTCATGGGTGCTGTATCAGTATTTGAACACTGTTTCACATATTTTATTTGATTGTACAACCTTTACTCATATGGCTTCATGTTCTACTTACAAATGATAAAAAAGAGTAACTAAGAGACGTGATAAAGATTATACACCTATATAGGATGAAATCAACTACTCACCTTATTTCTTTTTTACTAAATTTGTAGCTCTGTTCATAGTAGCTTTGGTCAGACATTTATTTGTTAAAAGTTAATTGTCCTTTGTGGAAAAAGTACCATGAGATTAAGAACAGACACCACCACTCAAAGTCCTAAGTATTTTTACTTCCTGTAGGCTCCAGTTCTGCTTACAAGGTGAAAAGATTCAAAAGACTGAAATACATCAGACCAGAATGTAGAGGGTACATTTATTTGCCTTTGCAACCCTCCAGATATTTCTAAAATGGTCTGTTTTTGTCAGTCTACTAGCTACATTAACTAGTATTTATTTAGTAATTACTCTGTAGCAGATTTTACATTTACCAACTGTGGTAGTTAATAGTGTCAATTTGATATCTAGATTCATCTACTATAAAAGCCCATGGAGATGCCTATAAGGAATTATTTAGGTTAGGTTAGCCTCTAGACATACCTGAGAGGGATTTTCTAGATTGAGTTAGTTGAGGCAAGAAGATTTGCCCAGTATGGGCTACACCATGCTATGGACTTCTATCCTGGACTGAATACAAAGGAGAAAATGAGCTGAACACTAGCACTCATTGTTCTCTGCTTCCTGACTGCAGATAAAATGTTACCAGCTGCCTGAAATTCCTCCTGCTTATATTTCACCAGAATGATGAACTGTGCATCCAAACTGTGAGCCAAAGTATACCATTCCTTCCTTAACTTACTCGTGTCAGGATATGTAACCACAGCAATAGGAAACATAGCTAATTCATTACGTGGCTTAATTTTCTGTATTGTTGACAAACTAGAGTTAGTTCTGGGATGAGAAAAGAATATGGGGTAATAGTGGTGATAGAGTTAAAGGTGGTAGGTTTGAAAAGAAGAGTTATAGTCTAGAACTCATAAAGACTGGACGTAGGGATTACATTAATTGAAAATCCAAGAAATGTTATGTGCAAAAGAAAGATGGCGTTTATTTACAGAATAGATGTGAAGTAAAAGTTGCATGGGTCAATTTAATTGAACATCAGACTTGGTCTAAATGAAGCTTAATTTCTTGAAAGTCAAAATTACCCTCCTTGTTAGTAACGGAAGACCTACAATCAGAAAGACATGGAGTGATGTCATTTGTAGGTCATAAACAGAGGAGATGCCTGCTCTGTGAGAGTTGTCCCAGAAGAACTCTTTTCCATCTCTCAGACCCTAGGACTGGTGATGATGTCACCTTAGAGAATAAAGAGTTCTGGACAGATACTGCCAGCCACAGTGGTACAATAAGATTAACTCTACAACATATTTTCTGTCTCTGGTTGGTCTTACACACCCCTCAGCATGTTAGACCATTTAAGAAACTTAGATCTTGGGTCTTGAATTCCTTAAAAGCTGAACCTCAGCCTAGAGGTAAGAGGAATTGAAGGCTAACCTTTGCCACACTCTCCTCCAAACTAATCATAATGAGTAAGAACAGAAACAGTCAGAAGGAAGGTACAAACATGATATGGAAAGAGGGACAAACAGGGTCATAAGAACAGAAAGATTTGGGCTCCAAAATAGAGAACTATGTGAAAATGAAGTAGGAACAACTTCTCTCCTAGGAAGAACTTAACCAAGACTAGTAAGAAAAAAACCTCTGTCCACATGAAAGATGTGTGAGTGACCAGACAGTAGCCTTGGACCAAAGCAGAAGATGGGAGAAAAGGTAGATGGCACCAACTAACCACTTGAACTTGAACTCCTTCTGCTGAATGTGCTGCTCTAGGCAATTGTATGCTGCCTGGAGACTACATGGAGATAAGAGCTTTGGTTTCAGAGTGTTTCATGAATTTAAGGGAAAACTGAATCTTTTTTCTTTATATGGGAACTCTTAGACTTCATAAAGGTAAAAAACAGCTCTCAGCATGAATAAACTCTTCTCAGCAAGAACAAAACAGAAATACCCATGAAAGTTAATTTGGCTTTATCTTCTGAAATACCAGGTTTCTGGAAAAGAAAACAGGGAAGGCTTTTCTTCATTAAAAGCACAAAGTGTTTCTTTTCTTTTCTTTTCTTTTCTTTTCTTTTCTTTTCTTTTCTTTTCTTTTCTTTTCTTTTCTTTTCTTTTCTTTTCTTTTGATGCTGTCAGTTCAAATTCTGAGGAATAGTACAAGATTATTCAGGATGTGAATGAATAGCCCCTTTTGTTAGGAGGAAGGCACAAGCTAGAAATGTCAGCAAGAGAAGATGGGCACACATCTCTTCTACAGACACATGTGACTCAAGAAGTTCTGACCTGTTGGTCCCTTAGAGGTAAAAAACATGCAGAATGTCAGAGAGGGAGTACCTGAAGATTTGGGGCACTTATGAAGACCCCTTTACCTCAGGATTATGGCTCCTTTTAAAGGCAACTTTTCTCAAACCATGTCACCACATAAAATAAGCAATCAAATTCTGACATTTGAAGGGGAACTTACACGTGCAGAAGGCATGATCCCAAACATGGGGAACATTAAGCCAGGCAGTAGAGCTGTGATTGACAGTGGGAAGGATTCTGTGATCCAAAGGATGGCAACAACGAAGAGGACATAGGCACATTCTGCTTCCTGCAAGGAATCAAGACAAGGCATAAGTTGAAAAAAGTAGCCTCTGAAATTACCCTTCAAATCATGACCACATTTGCTGGATGGAGCTGAGAGAGAGGGAGCTGTGAAAATTTCTGTGTTGTTAAGTTTCCACCAGATAGTTGTTTTTAAAGGTTTTGGAGCAAAAGTTAATAAACATGAAAACTGGAAACCTAGAAAAAGTTCCCTATTTTCTTTCATATTTCTTTCAAAACAGAATATCTTAGAGTCAATTTTCTGTGCTCTAATTAGTGTATATAGATGTCTGTCTTCACGCTCATTTGGCATCTCAAATGTTCTCTGAGTATTGTTGGGGTGCAGAAAAAGGAAGACTGTAGACATTTCTTCATGATATGTCTTTCTTTTAATTGTATTGTTTTTCTCTTTTAACTGTGTGTGTTTGGCTAGGAACTGCATCCATACTTTCTAAACAAAAGTGGAAAATCAACCTAGAAGAAAAGACTTCCTGTAGTGAATCTCAGAGCAAGCACATGAGATATGTGGCTGATTCAGATGAGCCTGAATACAGTTTCTAAGCACATGAATCTGGGGGTGCAGAGGATCGTGTGCTTAGAAAAAAAACTTGCTTTTTGAGGAAAGCAGCTGAGTTACTACAAACAGCACAGGAAAGCTCAAAGGGAATCTTAATCTTAATGAAATCTGTTGCTTTGCTTAGTTGAAAACTGTAGGTTTCTGTTTTAGGGCACTAAAAGGAAGTGGTTAAATTTATAACCATCTGTAACCTGTATAATTTGGTATGAAATCACCTGAAACGTGCTGAACAATCAATAAATGTTGTCATCCATTACATTGCTGCTGCTTGTTCTAGTGCTGTTTGCTGTCTGAGAACTCAGAGTTGTTTGGAAATTTACTGAGAGACTGTGGCTAGGGTTTTGATGAGGTCTTTTCTTCAGGCCTGTGCACTATGTGGCTTTCCTCTCTATGATGCACTGGCATCAGTCTGAATCCTCTGGACTGGGCATTTGCTCCCCAGCATCCTTGCTCTTTCAGTGAATCTAAGAGATTCTTAATAAGCTCAGACTCTGCCATATCTTCATTGCATTACATTTTTAAAGGAAGAAGAATAAAGGTATTTGATGTTGACAGTTCTTACAGGGCCTGCCTCTGTAGTTCTGACAAACAATAAAAACAACAAAATAAAGCAGAGCCTTGACTGAATCCTTCTAAACAGGTCTAGAGAGAATCTGTGGGCACTAGTTTAGTTTAAAATGCCAGTGTAGAGGGAAGGCTGTGTATTTCGTTTTAGATGGCCCCAAAACCTTTTCTTACAACTTTATGTTTTCTGCCGTACTTGCAAGAAGATAGGTTTCAAAGACAACATGGACCCCTTGACTATCATATGCTCTCTAGTTCCCACCAACCAGTCTTCTGGTGCTGTTCACTGTTCTTACACTAAGCCTCAACTCTGCCCCTCTGCCTCCACCCATGTCCATTAGAAGCAAGCTTCCAGACTGTCATCTAAGAACTCAGCTTGATTTGATCACTCTCTTTGATAAAGCTAGATTTAGGCCCATTCACCCTGACAACACTCTAAAGCATCCACATATAACAGTCTGCATCAGAAAAATAAAAGGAAAAGCCAAAGGAGGCTGACAAGTTCTGGTCACCACATCTAACCTGTGCCATGGGCTTGACATTTTACCTCAACCGCCCCAATCTACTCAGATGGGGCAGCTTTGGTAACAGAACAATAAGCAAAATCTCAATTGCTGAATGATTACCTTTTTGGGGAGATTTTTATATTTTAACTAACACAGCTGTGACTTCATTGAATTGGCACCTTTCAGTTGCTTTTTTTTTTTGATAATTCAGGATTTTCAACTTACAATCACCTTTACTTAACAATCAGACTTATCCCAATACTTCTTGACATCAATTCTTTATTTGCAAAGATGCTTCTTGACATGGTGGCACACACTCTTAGTCCTAGCATTAGGGAGACTGAGACATGGGGAAGAGGGATACCATGAGATTGAAACTAGCCAGGTCTACATAGCAAAACTGTTTCAAAATAGTCTCCTTTTTAGACCATTTTGATGTATGGATCTGATCCCTGCTGCTCACTTTTCATCAAACTCTAATTCACAACATTTAGCTAGGTCGTCTCCTGGGAAGAGTCAGGACCTCCCCAAGTGCTTCTTTTTACCCATTGCTTGAATTATGGACTCTTGACCTCATTGAATGACTTGAAATAGTTGAAAGTCTAACAAGCAAATTCAATTTGTTTGCCTCACAATACTTGTGTCTTTCTCTATATATGTATAAATTTCTATATATATAAAAGTTTGACTCAAGATTTATAAATAAGTAGATTTTATCTTAAAATACAGTTAATTTATGATTTTAGCAAGTGAGAGACAGGGTAATGTTAGCATGACATTGTGACATGGCAACAATTCTCCAGATTCAAAAAGAACTTGTATCTTACAGAGTGACAGCTGCTTTCTAGTTCCACATAGCACTTCCATACTGCCTACTCATCTGCTTCCCTTCTGGCCTTAGTATTTGAGTCAATGTCTAGTAGCAATCCATTCCCTCTTCATTCTGACTTTCCTACTTGTGTCCTTCTCCCTGAGTTTTCATATTTGCTCATTGGCTTTCTCTGCATATATCCCATATAATCCATGGACCAGCAATATTGAGATTATCTGGGAATTTGCAAGAAATGTAGAATGCTGGCTTGTTCTTGGATATACTGAAGCAAGATGAGCAATTTCAAGGTAACCAAGTGATATTTTTGTTGAGTGAAGATTCAAAAGCTATGGGATATATGATCACTCAGTCTTTTCTTCTCATATTTACGTCTTGGTCCAGAATCCTGCTTGTAGGGAATATCTCTCTGTCAGGTGAAATCTCTGAATTTATAAGCTGTTTGGAAAGTCTTGTTATCCTGCAATGTGCAGTTCAAAATTGTATCTCATTCATGGAATTTCCCACAATGGCATTTGAACATTAATTTTTCCATGTGAGTAATTAATGGAATTATAATTGTACCCTATTTCTGTTGTCTCTGTTAGCTAATTTTCCTTGATCACAGGAATGTTCCATGACTGAATGAAACTGAAGGTCTGAATAAGGAGGGAACAGAGTCACTCTTGTCTAGGTCGAGTGAGGGAATTATTCTCCCCACCTGAAGCCACCCTCCACAGTCTGGCAGAAGTGTGCAATGCTTGTGATGCTGTTATAATAAACTGCAACTGTAGCAAGAAAAGTCCTTTACTATTATAAATTCTTCAACGGAGAGACAGAAACCAGCATAGTGGCTCTTTTTATCTTGTTTATACATTATGACAGAAGATACAGGAAGAAAAGACCTATTTGGAATTATGACTATCACAGACGTTACAAAATGCCTTCAAAATCCATGATGGGTTTTTCAAAATGTCATATGTGAAGTGAGCAAAATGGAGGCAGAGAAGGAATGAAAGGAGGAAGGGAAGGAAAAGGAAGACAGAAAACGCTCATGAACTTCCTCAGGACTAAAAATGCCGCTCACCTGTTCAAGTCTCTAGATTCCATAGACATAATTGGTTTGAGGAAATGACACTTGTTCAGGGAGAGGAAGCTGTTTATTATACGCTCATAAGACATTCCACGAGATCACATGGAAGTGACGCCCTCTCCCATAACCTAGGATGCTTGCCTGTGCGTCTCCCTTGCCTGCTCTTGTCTGCCTCTACCTTTTCCTACTGCAGGAAGGTTCTCTCCCACTAAGGGTGATGGAAGTGTTATGGGAAGACACTGTTCCTTTACAGGAAAAACATCAAGCTAAAGCTTTGGCACAGTCTGTTTTAAAAGAGCCTTCAAGTTTCTAAAATATTTAGAACAGTTAAAAAATTACATAACAGATGCAGTTGTTTATCACATTGAAGAAGCATGGACTTTCAGCCACGTTTACTTTATTTTTTAAGATACAGAATGTTTCTGTGAAAAAACTCGTCAGTCGCTCCTTTGTACCCTTTCCCTGGACTCCTCCCCGAGATGTGCCCTGCCTACCATATGGCTTGTCACTTTCCATCCGTGTTTCTTCTTTGGTGTTTCTAGACAGGGTTTCTCTGTGTTGTTTACAGTCCTGGCTATACTGGCGCTGGCTTTGTAGACCAGGGTGGCCTCGAACTCACAGAGATCCACCTGCCTCTGCCTCCCAAGTGCTAGAATTGAAGGCTTGCTCCAGCTGGAAATGAAGGTCAGCAAGACTATTAATATTGTAATAACTATGTTTTTTTCTTTTCTTTGTGTGTGGTGTCTGCATATTTGTGTATGAGTACACTTTGCTGTGTAGTCATGTATGGGAGTGGGTGTCAAAGGCTCACATTAGAATGTCTTTCTCAAACACTTCTCTTCTGTTTTTTTGACAGGCTCTTAGTGGACCTAGAGCTCAACATCTGAATTAACCTAGATGGCCAGTGAGCCCTAGAATTTTCCTGTCTCCACCTGCCAGCACAGGGGTTACAGATACAGACCACTACACCTGGCTTTCACGTGAGTGCGGATACCCAAACACAGATAATCACTCTTGTGCAGTGAACACTACACCCAATGATACTCCCCAACCCCAACATGCACTTTTAAAATTAAACAGTGCTTTACTTGTGTATCATTTTCACTCAATATTTTACATTGCAAATGCATTTATGTTGACATGTATAACTATTGTTAAATTTATTTTAAGTGGGTCAAATTTTCCTGTTAAAGAATACAATAGTATTTGTGTGTACAGATTTCTAATTCTTCCCAATTTTTCAATAATATATGGCTGAAAAACATCTTTGTGCCTAAGTTCCATAGGGACATAGGCAAAAGATTTTCAGTCCTAGAACAGAAAACAAGTAGCAAAATTTCTTGGTGGAAAAGCTCATTTAAAATTTATTAGGTATTTCTATTTTCTAAAAAGATGGTTATGCTAATTTATAGTATTGTTGTTGGTACAACAATGTAAAACAATCCCAGCCTCCTTTTCT